TTGCGATACTTTTTTTTTTTTTTTTGCAAAATCTACATTGCACACTATATAATATCACATGTACATGTACACAATATTACACAACACCAAATCATATTCATATCCAACACAATCTAATTATATTTTAATATCAAATACAATTATATTCAAATAATACATTCACCAAAATACTAGAGAGATACATAAATTGTATACATAGATAATAAAGAATACAATTATTTACATAACTTGATGAACTTTGCATAATTTATAGAATCCAATTGCATTTACTCCTCCAAGTTGTTGAAGCATCATTAGGCCGAATGCTAACCTGTGCATGGAAAATCCATCCATCAATACTTTTCTTTTGATAAAAATATATGATAAACACTAATTCATCTACATTCAGTAAGAAATAGCAATTGAGACTCCTCCTACAAGTAGCAAAAAGGAAAATGTGGTTGCCAAGTTACCATGAGGGTGGCCTGGTCCTAACATATGTTTCATAGGACCGAACATCAGAACATTTGCCATCATGGTTCAGGTTGCTTTCAGAATCCAAAACTACCTCCGCGTGGACAAGCAAAGGCCTTTTGAACTTTGCCAACACAGATAATCCCTCCTATAAAAGAAGGTAAGACTTTAACGAATAAGCAAATGAGCATAAGAAAAAGTAAATCGCATTATCTTTGTAATGCAAAACGGAGGAAAAATAAGGCACAGTGTTAATTAATTAAGTATCAATACTTACAATGAAGTAAACTAAAAACTAATGACTGAACACAAAATTTTTTATTTAGAAAATAACTAAGTGACCAAAAACACACTTTGATATGAGTTGAATTAGTCATTGGGAAATCATTTATTCCTGAGGGGCACATGAAAGACTGCACAAAGCAGGAAAAATATGTCAGGAGATGCAACAGGAAAGAGTTATTTCACACACAACTTTTTATATCAATAAGCTGTTAACACAAATAGGAAAATAAATGCAGTAATAAATTTGCCATGGAAATTAACAGTCCCTTATAGCACACCAAATCAAACCTTCATGATTGGCACCCCTGCAACATAAAAGATATGTTTCATGGTAGTTTTTTACTTTTTATGTATGGGGAACCTTGGGCTTTAATTATTTCCAAGTCGAATATACTGTCATTGACTAGAGTATTACAAATATATAAATACAAGAAATAAATAAAAACTAAGGATCAAGACAATACCAACATCGACATATATTTTCTCATGTGCTGCGTCGACCTAATAGCATCAAACAACAAATTAAGTATTCATTAGTTATCTGAATAAAGCGAACAGTATCAAGTGAATTAAGAAATATTTCCCACAACAAATAAAATAACACTGGAACTTGATAGGATTGTATGTACTCTACAGTATACTAAGTTTCAAACTTTCTTACCCTTGAAAGACTGGACAATCAGATGTTTATACCAGTTTATTGAAAGGACCAGCCATAAGAGTGGACGTGTAACATTAATAAATTGATTGAACATAACTAATGCTCAACGAAAAATCATTGTAATAAACATGTCAAAGAGATGGTGTCAAATAATATGACTGTACCAGCAGCTGCTGCCTTGGTCCCTGATGAGAAGCCTTTCCATTCAACCCTTCCAGGTTCATCAAGATGTGTGTGGCTGAATGACGGAAGCATTGAAAGAAAGAAACTCCAGTATGAATATTCTACTTTTGTAAAGTGAGTAATTGATACATCATATGACCTACCAATGCGGATACTTTTAAGGTCAAATATAACCAGCAAAATACATAGACAATCCATCAGCTGGTTAAAAAGCACTAGCTTTCCCATTCATTTATTGTGGATTGGGGGGGAAACAAGACTCTAATCACTGTGATACCTTAACATCCACTGGAACATTTGACCGAGTCCACATATACTTTCATTCAAACAAGCAACGCACATTTAAGGACTCAATTGATCCCAATTACAAGCAAAATCACCCAAGATCAAAACATTAAAATAAATAACTGATCTTTACCTGGAAAAACTTCGAATTTCTCAATGGTGAAGGGCTCGGCGGCGCCTTGGTCGCCGGACTCCCATTTCCTGCCAATTGATCTGATTAATTTGCGAAGCAAACGAAAATTTCAACTGATTACACTTGAGATTGTTCCCCAAAATTCGAGATCTTATATAGATCAAAAGCAAACGAAAATTTCAACTGATTACACTTGAGATTGTTCCCCAAAATTCGAGATCTTATATAGATCAACAAACAGCACCAACCGCTATGCTAACATTTTGAGATTGTTCCCCAAAATTCGAGATCTTATATAGATCAACAAACAGCACCAACCGCTATGCTAACATTTGATTATATTTTTACCCTTTTAATTTTGTAGTGATCAACATCCATTGCTATGCTTGAACATTTTTTTTATGCACAAGTTTGTATTGTGCTCTGCATGCATCATGCGCACCAGAGAGCTAATACGTAATAAATGAAGGAGGTCATAAGAGCTTCTCCAACCGAACGCTATCCCCTCAAAATGACGCAAAAAATGTTCCTATTCCTCCTCCAACCGAACGCTTTCCTCAGCGCCATTTTGGGGGAGAGCTACAGTGCTGCGCCAGATTTGGCGCAGCACTGTAGCTTTGGCGCAGTGTATATGTATTATATAATTAGCTTTTATATTTTTATTTTATTCATAAAATATATTATTATAATTAATTATATGTATTATATAATTATATAATTATATAATTTGTTAAATATTTTTAATTTCAAAAAATGTTAAAAGATAAGAATAATAAAAGGAATATTCTTTTTGGTGTAACATTTGGTGTAATGGGTTGGAGATGGAATAGTAATTTGGTGTAAAAACTACACCAACTTGGTGTAAAAACTACACCATTTTGAGTTTTATGGTTGGAGATGCTCTAAGGGATAGCAACAGGCACTCCATGTAATCCATGTTAAGAGAAGAAAACAGGATAGACTAATGGAGTATGTGTTTTAGTGAAGTGAGAACAAAGAGAAGCTTTTGAGACTCATTCTAGAAAGAAAGCCTTATTCAAAAAAAGCAACAAAAAAAAATGGTAACATTCATTGGATCCTTAATTCCTATTGGCCTTATTCCAGGCGCCCCCACGTTTGATTAACACCTTGTATACTGAACCCAAAACCAACCTTTTTAAAACACAAGTAAAGATATGATCCAGAGTTTGAACAACACAGATATCTCCAATCATCACCGCCAACCAAAACTACTCCTAAACATTGTATCACCAACCTATTAACAATGTTGGAGACATCGAGACCGAAAAGACCAAATTGCAGGAAACAAGAGAAGGAACATTCGTTCAGGCAAAATGACGAACAGCTGGAGGGCATGAATTAAAAAAAACTACCTTTAGATAAAGGAATAATGTGATCGTACTCGTAGCAGAGGCATCCAAGACAGTTCCAGAAGCGCTTGCATACGACGTTGCCGCTGCGTGGCGTCCTTGCGCCACTAGCCCGGGGATGGCGCGCCCGGGACTATGTCCCTGGACAGGCGACGAGGGCGACGAGGGCGGGATGCGGGCGGAGCAGGCGGCGGAGGAAGGTGGACGAGGCCGGAGGCGGCGAGAGAAGGACGAAGCCGCCGCCGTGGAAGTAACGGGACGACGGGGGAGCTTGGGCTAGGTTAGGTTTGGAGATGTAGAGGCGGAGGAAGGTGTTGCGGGCTACGCTGAGCAGGGGATGTCCTGGAGAGGCGCAGCGCACGCGCGTGGAGTGGAGGTGGACGGGATGAGAGGATTGGTAGAGAGAGAGAAAAATTTGGGCGTTTGGAGAGAGAGAGGGGGGGTTTGGAGAGAGAGAGAGAGAGGGGGTTTGGCCCGTTTGGGGGTTTTAGATGGAGCAGGGAGAAAAAAAGAGACGGAGAAATGAAAAAATAGACGGGGTAATGAAAAAAGAGGTGGAGGCGTTAATTTTTTTTAGGCAAGCTATATGGAATTTCCATTTCCGTCTAGCTTACATCAGTGTAGACGGATATTTTGTTTAGGTTGAGTGTTTATTTAAAAAAAAATATAAAACCGTCTAGTTTGTCAATCTAGACGGAAATTTATGTGTAGATTGATTCAAACTAGATGGAACAAACTAGACGGAATTTTTTCCGTATGGGCTTGTTTGTTTGCACGGAAGTAATTGTGAAGTAGCTAAAGTAAAAGAAGTAGAGGCTACTTCTGCTACTTCCAAACAAAAAAGTGTGTTTGGTTCTCTGAAAAACTTACTTCCAATACTTCCCTAAATGCTTATGTGGCGCCTACGTGTCATCCTTACTTCCAAAATATTTTTCTAATCCTCAATACTCAGAAGTAGCTCGAAAGTAGTTGAAATGCATATTAATTATGACATAAATAATTTTTTTATTAATATTTTCTTTATTAGTTACTTCTAATAACTTTTCATTGATAAAATTACTTCCTAATAATATTTTTAAATGTTATCCAAACAAAAAAAGTAAATGAAGAGGAAGAAGTTCTACTTCCATTACTTCTAAAAATATATGAAACAAACAAAAAAAATTCTATTTCCACTACTTCCTACTTCATAGCTTTGAAAGTTACTTCTATAACCTATTTCTTACTTCTAATGCTTCCATTATCCAAACGGGCCTAGTTTGCCTCAAACTAGACGGGAAAAAATTCCATCTAGATTGTTCCGTCTAGTTTGATCTATTAGTGAATTATGAATATCTTTTCAAAGTGTCGTTCGTTCTGTCCTATTAGGAACTTCTTCAAGCGTAAATAGCAGCTAATAAAAATTCACAAAAATCGCCTTAACATATATTGCCTTTCAACTTCCACTCTATTTCCTATTGCAACCTTTCCGATTAACTATTATTAATTATTTCGTTTCTTCATTCCGTAGTGCCTCGTTGATTTCTTTTTTCCCCTGGGAAGTTGAATATAAAAATCATAAAGATCTGATATTAGCATCTCAATATCTACTTATGCCTCGGGATGTACCCAACAAGAACCGTTATGCACAACTCAAAAAGAACTGTGGTTAGGTAAAAGTCTAAGTACACCTATATTGACATGTAAGATATTGTACTCATGCCTCAGGTCAAGAGACTACTTTGTACTATATCACTTGAGAACTACTATTTGACAGTTAAGTATAATTACCAACTAGATGTTCTCAGTGAGTCGTTCAGTCAACTCATTCACTAATGAGTCACATGTATACTATATCTTGATGTCTCACATCAATGATCTAAGAGATGTAATGAGTCACATGTATACTATATCTTGATGTCTCACATCAATGATCTAAGAGATGGATCATCGTCCTTTCAAAGAAGAAGTAAAGTATACACTAGTCTTACCAAAGTGATGATGTCCCATTTCAACACCTCATCGACTAGGAACATTATTGAATATACGTTAGCGACAAATCAGATCTCTTCATTACGATCATATCCGAAATGTCTGACTATTATTTTAAACAAGGATGTTATATTCATATAGGTCATGTTGCAATATACAATTATTATCTGCAGGGCACCTATATCCAACAAACTTCCACTTACACTAAGGCCAATCATTGTAGTATCTAATACCTAATAGCTCAACAAGTTTTTCAAATTGTGTATGAGCAATTGCCTTTGTGAATGGATCTGCGATATTATCTTTTGTGTCAACTCTTTCAATCTTGATCTCTTAGCGATCAACTATCTCCCTGATCAAGTGATACTTCCTCAGAATGTGTCTGGACTTATGATGAGACCGGGGTTCCTTTATCAGAGATATTGCAGCATTACTATCACAGTATAAAGGTACTGGATTTTTAATGGTGGGAACAACTTCCAGCTCTGAAAGGAACTTCCTCATCCAGACAGCTTCTTTGGCTGCATCATTTGCCGCAATGTATTCGGCTTCCATAGTAGAGTCTGTTACTGTGTCCTGCTTGGAACTTTTCCAACTGACAGGCCCTCTATTGAGGGTAAAAACATATCCTGAAACAGATTTACTATCATCGATATCGCTCTGAAAGCTAGAGTCGGAAAAAGCCTCCATTTGGAGGTCACTTTTACCATATATCAAAAATAATTCTTTAGTCCTTTTCAGGTACTTAAGTATATTTTTGACCGTTTTCCAGTACTCTTCTCCATGATTAGATTGGTATCTACTTACCAAACTGAGTGAATAAGCGATATCCGGTCTAGTACATAACATGGCATACATGATCGACCCTACTGCCGAGGCATAAGGAATTAGACTCATGTGTTTCCTCTCTTCATCAGTCTGGGGAGACATCTTTTTAAGAGCGAGATTCCAGGAGATACAGGTACAAAACCTTTCTTGAAATTTTTCATGCTAAACTATTTTAGCACTTTGCCAATGTATCTAGATTGGGATGATCCTAATATCCTTTTAGATCTATCTCTATAGATCTGAATACCCAGTATACAGGATGCTTCACCCAAATCTTTCATGGAAAATCTTTTTGATAGCTAAATTTTAACCGCTTGTAATGACGGTATGTCATTACCAATTAAGAGTATATCATCTATAATACAAAATAAAAAACGATACTATATTCCCAATTATCCTTTTATACACACATGGTTCATCTGGATTTTTGATGAAATCAAACTCTTTGATAGCATCATCAAAACAGATGTTCCATCTCCGCGATGCTTGCTTCAGTCCATAAATGGATTTAAACAATCTACATGTTTTTCCACTGCTCCCACTGACTACAAAACCCTCTGGTTGCGTCATATATATGCACTCTTCTAAATCACCATTTAGAAATGCAGTTTTAACATCCATTTGCCAGATCTCGTAGTCATAGTGAGCAGCTATAGCAAGTAGGATCCGAATAGACTTTAGCATAGCTACTGGAGAAAAAGTTTCATCGTAGTCCAAACCAGGTCTTTGACGAAAACCTTTAGCTACCAGTCTAGCTTTAAAAGTTTTTACTTTCCCATCTACACCCAACTTTTTCTTAAACAACCATTTGCAACCTATGGGTAT